AGTTTGCCGACCATGGCCTTATCTGAAAGGGGTCGTTCAATGAACTTTCTCAAGTGGTGAAGACCCAATGAATGAATGTCAGAAAGCATCTCACCTAACACCAGGAGCATGCGCTGTGCTCAGGATATGCTCCATGAAGCTGGGACCCTCAAGGAACCAAGGGGTGAAGTCACATTGAAATGAGATATACATGTAATTCCAAAACTGTTGAAGAATAATGTGTATATATTTTTTACTGTAAGACAATTAAATTTTAATTAAAAAATCAGAGAATAATAGTTTAATAAATAATAAAACCAATGGTCTCTTATCCTCCATACTTCCCTGTATCCAGGATGTGATTACTCAGAAGCAATCCCTGTGAAATGTTGGGAGTGTGTATCTTCTGGAATTTATCTCCTGATTTCTAAATAGCACATTTCTATTGATATCTATTGATACCAGTATCTGGTATTACTGACACCTAGTGATATTTCAGTCTTAGTATCTATTGAAAAACTACTATGAAAAGTGAGTGCTGTCCTACACTTTGCCCCACACTACATACACATTTCCCCACCCCTTATATACTAGTAAATGTATCATCGTTTTGGTTAAATAATTATATAATGTTTACCTCATTATTTAGAGTTGAGTCATGCAATTCCTGCGATGATTAAACTTTGGTTAGACTGAAGTGATCAATTGCTTTATTAAAATTTTTTTTTTGCTGAGTTTTTAATGTACTATCAATAATTCACACTAAACTTTGCACTAGAAGTATAAATCTCATCTCTTATGTTAAAGCACACCCAGAATCTTCTTATCTTCCTGGAGTTCCTTGTTGTCTTGTTTGAGTCTAGGCTGCTACATAGTATTCCTCCTGGGATTTCCCCCCCCTTCTCCAGTGGCCTGGGAACTCTTTCACTACTTTGCTATGTAAAATGACTGTCTTCTGGATCCTCTGTCTTTATCCTTTTTGGATTGTGCCTTCATTTGGGTGTCATATTATCTTGCATTAATTTTCTGACAAAGAGTTCTTGAGAGGTAAATTATAGAACATCTGAAAATGCTTCTTTTCCTACCCTCACCATCAATTAATAGTTTGGGTGTTCACAGAAATTTAGTGTGCATCTTGTTCCTAAAGACCAAATTTGCTCCATTGTCAATCTATATTCCAGCCGTTTCCATTGTGATTGAGAAATCTGTTAAAATTCTGATTACTGATCCTTTCATGTGACTGTTTTTCCTTCTTGGAAAGACCTTCGAATCTGCTCTTTAACCCTACAATGAACTTTTTTTTTTTTTTTTTTTTTGGTGGTGGTGGTGGTGGTGGGGGTTCTTTTTATAGCTTCTTATTTTATGGTGACAAATTTTTTTTTTCTTTTCCATGTTAATTATGTGTATTGGGGTAAGTTTTCTTCTGCTTCATGCTGTCTCTTTCTCAGAGTTTTTACTGCTTATTTTAATATTTGTCTATTATGTGGAGGATTTCTTCAACTGGTTTTCTGGTTTCCAGCTGTCATGTTTAAGGTTGATGTTCTGCTGTAAAAGTAGTGTGCATGCATACATGCATGGAATGTTTGAGTAGTTGGCTCTATAATAGCATAGGTTTATCAGCAAAGACTACTGTTTTCTTGGGGATCCTCAAATATAATCTATGGATCTTTTCTCTGGGGTTGGTAAATTTACAGAGGGTTCCTCCAATGCCCAGACTTTGAGGTCTGAGGATGACTGCCAGCATTGTTCAGGCATGGCCAAGGCACCTTTGATTTCACCGTGCAGTAACCTACTCCCTACTCTCTACTACTTTTTGGAAGCTCATCTCTTTCCTTACCCATGCCTTACATCTCCTCAAGGGATATAACTTCTCCAGGAGAGTTAAATTCCCAATTTTCTGTAGATGGAGGAAATATGATTGGTTGTCTGGCTGACAGGAGTTAATTAAAAATTATTATGAAACATTTAAGATATTCAAAAGGTACAAAGAATAATAAAGTTAAATTTCTAAAAATATAGTAATTAGTTATCTGAGAAATAGTGTCCTGTTAAATACACCAAAAATAAACAAAGTTGGAAAACACACTCACACACACACATACACACACACACACACACACACACACACACACACACACACACTCTCTTTTTAAAATAAATTGTTGAGCTGACATGAACATAGGGAATCACCCAAGGCCAAACTGAGGCAAAACAATCTAAAGAGGAAAGCAAGTACTGGATCAATTGCTAATCTCTGAAGACTTAGTTGACAAAGCCCCAGGCCTGGGAACATAATAGATTAGATGGTTTAGAAACCTTGTATGTAGTTAGCACTTCCAGAGGGCTATATCTCATGAAGGTATAGATATATTTTACACTGTGAGGCAAACAAACTCAAGTATTCCCATTCAGATTTATGCCATTCTCTTCTCTGCACCTACCATATTTCCAAGGTCCCTGGAATCTCCATTTCAGTATCATAAGCCCTCTTGCTTCTTGGTTTTGCTCCCCACAATGCGGTAAGCTTTCTGCCCTTTATGATTTGCTATGATAGTTGTCTCAATTTGTAACTGCTTTGTCAGCCATTTTCTGTTCTCTTTATCCTCATGGGTGTGTGTGCTTTTATCCTTTTTCTAGAATACTAGAGGCCTGGTGCATGAAAAACATAAACTGGATGGGGGAGGTTATTCCTCAGTACAGCCTGCACCCTCTCCAATCTGGGACCTCTTGAGGGAAGTCCAACTGTCCGTTTAGGCCCAATCTCAGTAGGATTGGGCCTAACTGGCCAGTCAGATATCTTCTCACAATTGAGGACTGCTGGCTCCCAACTGCTTGCCTTCCTGATTGCTCCTAACCACTTCTGTCTGCCAGCCTGATCACCCCCTGACCACTCCCCTGCCAGCTTGATTGATGCCTAACTGCTCCCCTGCCAGCCTGTTTGCCTTTAACTGCCCTCCCCTGCAGGCCTAGTCACCCCTAACTGCCCTCATCTGTCAGCCTGGTCACCCACAACTGCCCTCCCCTGCCAGCCATCTTGTGGTGGCCATCTTGTGTCCTCATGGGAGCAGCCATCTTGTGTGTTGGAGTGCCAGTCAATTTGCATATTACTCTTTTATTAGGTAGGATAGTGGTTTTAGGGAAGACAGAGGTATATATGAGTAATTAATCTGTAACCATTTTAAACAGGAAGGCCAAAGTGTAGTCCCTTACCAGAGTTTTCATCATCCATCTCCCAGAAAAATGTCTTCAAAAGACTCCACTCTGTCTGCCCACAACTTCCCACTCAGAGCTGCTACTCAATTCTCATTTTCTATCAGCACTAATTATTCTTTTATTGTCTATCTGAATCCTCATCATGCTTCATCTTGTTCCCAGTTTGAATACTGGCACTTTCAAAAGAATTTCAAGTGATGCTAATGTGTCACTAAATTTGAGAACCTCTGCTTCTCATGGACTAACATTTGGATCAGTCTAGTGGAGAATAGTCAATTCTCTTTGGTGGTTAGTAATGTCCTGGGCCAGGCTAACTCCAGCTGCTGCTTCACATTGTTAAGCCATACTAGTCTCAACAGTCTAAAGTTTATTGCTTACTCCTTTCAGAATATGTATAGTGTATATGTATGCTTGTACACAGTAACATGTATTCTTGGAATGTAGTCAGAAACTTCACCAACTACTTTACTAAATTTCATGGCAACTTGAAAAAAGTTTTGAGAAAATCAGATTGACTTTATTACCAAAAAGCAACTCCTTATGAAAAACACTTCACTTAGACAACTACACCTGTTTTTTTATTTTTGTTTTTGTTTTTGTTTTAAATGGGAGAAAAATACAAGCTCAATCTACAATGAATCCTTTGGGAAGTTAGGATACTTTTCTGAGCTGCCATTGTCATTCAATTTCAGGCAATTTTAGTCCCAATACTACATTAACTTAAGAGCATTGGCCAAGTTTCTAACAAAAGTGCACATGATTTTGGCTGTCAGTATAAAAAGGATGACAATATACAATAATATAGGAATTTGCATTAACTTCAGTGAACATTTATTGCATTTTCCTTTGGTCAAGTGTGATATCAAAGATGATGTGAGAAATGGAGATGAATAAAACATTTTCTTACTCTAAGAAATTTACAATCCAGAAGAGAATTTTTAATCTAGAAGGCGAGAAAACTAATTTGTTAGATAACCTAAGAAAAATCAGGAAAAGGCCACCACGGAGGCACAATAACAAAGGCATTAGCATAATTCCTTTGGAAATGTCCACCTTCTTTCTTGCAACTATTAAAAAGTTGAAGAGAGCTTTATAATACTTAAATAAACCTGTAAGTTTATTTCTTTCACCGGGGGCGGGGGGGGGGGGGGAAGTTTTCTGTCATTATTTCTTCAAATAGGTTTTCAATATCTTGCTCTCTCTCTTTTTCTGGCACCCCCATAATTCGGATGTTGGTACGCTTGAAGTTATCCCAGAGGCTCCTTACACTATCTTCATATATTTGGATTCTTTTTTATTTTTGATCTTTTGGTGGGTGTGTTTTGCTTCCTCATATTTCAAATCATTGATTTGATTCTCGGGATCCTCTGATCTACTGTTGAATTCCTGTATATTATTCTTTATTTCAGTCAGTGTATGCTTAATTTCTGACTGGTCCTATTCCATGTTTTTGGCATTCTCACTAAGATCCTTGAAAGTCTCACTAAGTCCCTTAGAGGTTTCTAGAAGAATCCTGAGTAATCTTATAACTGTGGTTTTGACCTCTATATCTAGCAGTTTGCTTTCTTCCATTTCTTTCATTTGTGACATGTTTCTTTGTCTTTGCACTTTGACTGTTGTTTCTATGTATTTGGTAGAGCTACTAAGTCTCCTTGAGTTTTAGATTGCCTTGTGTAGTAGGTGTCCTATAGGGCCCAGTGGCTCAGCTTCCCCAATCACTTGAGGTGGATACTCTAGGTCAGTGGTCGGCAAACAGAGCCAAGTATCAACAGTACAATGATTGAAATTTCTTTTGAGAGCCAGATTTTTTTCTTCTATTTAGTCATTTCATACAGAAGGAGGACACAAACAAACCCTCCCCCTTCAGATGGCAATGCTAATCTATCTCATAAGCATAGCCACTAGAATCTATTAGGAGAAAAGTGGCAGTCAAATAGGAATAAACTTTTAACTTCTTTTAATGCCACTTCTTCAAAATAGACTTTCCCAGGCCATGGTATTTTGTGGTAGAGACACACTCATGGGGCCAAAGAGCTGCATGTGCCTTGAGAGCCACAGTTTGCTGACCACTACTCTAGGTGCACCCCTTTATGGGCTGTGAGCACAATCTTGTTGAAGTTGAGACTTGATTGCTATTGGTGTCACTGGGAGGAATTGACCTCCAGGCCAATTGGCTGTGGGGAACAGCTGCAACTACAGTGTGAGAGCTGCTGTGCAGGAGACACCCTTTGAAGCAAGACTTGCTTCAGTGGGGCTTTGGTGCTCACTGAGTCTGTCCCTTAAGAGTGTCACTGTGTAGAGCTGACCATTGGGGACACTGGCTCTTGAATCTCCAGAGAGGTGCAAAGTCAGTCACTGCTTGGGGCCAACCAGTGGGAGCTACAGAGAGATATGCAGATTCCTCCTCTTTGTATCAGGTTTGAAAGTGCCCAGCTGTGAAGCAAAGTAGGCTGGTGCTGGTGCTGGGTCTTGCCCTTTATTCATAAGCTTGGGGCTCCCTGACCCAGCTGCAGTTAGTTTGACAGGTTTTAGCATAAGCAAGGACATATGAAAAAGCTGCTGCAGGCAGCATGGGTGGGGTTATAAATTGAGTGGGGTGGGGTCTCAGGGAATCACCAGAGCAGAGCAAACAAATGGCTGCCAGTCAGCCCTGTAACTGGGAAGGTCCCAGCAAAGATACAATGACTGCTGTGAGCACCTTCTTCTGGGAGAAAGCCAGCCCCTGAGTTCCTGCCCTGATGCCAGACAGTTCAGTTTCTCCTCAAATGTGTCTGGGTCCCCCAGAGCCTCGGCCATCACTGGAACTCAGAGGAAGCAGGAGCATGTAAGTTCAGTTCATGGTGCTGGGTTTTTATGAGGAGCAGCGAGGTGTCCTGCACCTGTGTGTCACTGAGCCCCAATCCCCACTTTAAAAAAAAAATTTTTTTTTATACAGCCTGTAGTTCTTACTACCTGTAAGGACTTATTTTTCCTTGCATTTGGACCCTGGGCTGGGGGTTTGGTGTGGGGCTGGGACCCTTTGCTCCTCCAGGTGGCTTCCACAGAGGCAATCTCCCTCCTGATTAAAAAAACAGCCTATGTGGGTGCCAGACCAACCTCCTACCAATCTCAGTGTGCTTTCTTCTCTAGTTGTAGGACTTCATTCAGCCAGCTTTTCAGCAGTTCTGGATGATGGTTGTTCTGTATTTTCGTTGTAATTTTGATGTGGTTGTGGGAGGTAGGAGTACTGGTGTTTGCCTACGCTGCCATCCTGTTTCTCTGCTCCCACGATTGTATTCTTAAATGCCTATTATGTGTGGGAATGGAACACAGTTGGGGTGGTCTGTATGCCTCCTAGCATAGTGAGTGGTTTAGTGTGTGATGTGGGTGATTCTGGCTGCTGTGTTAAAAGATTTCCCCTGCTGCTTCTTTCCTGACTTAGCTACTTGTTCTCAGAATATTCAGGTTCAGTGATGGTAGAGGCTACAGGTTACTGTGTAACATATTGGGACATAGAAGACATGTCCTCAGAAATTCCCACTGGGCAGTTACGTTCAACGGAGCCTTGGAGTTCATCTTGTTTGGTCTCTTGTTTCCTTGATATTTCTGGTGGAATGCCTATATGAAGACTGTCTATATGAAGAATGTCTATATGAAGACTGTGTCAGTTGAGAGCTCACCACTTCCCAAGGAAGTTTGTCACTTGTATGACAGTGCATATTGTTAAAAAGTTTTTTTTTGTTTGTTTTTTTAAGTTTTGAGCTAAAATCAATAACTGTCTTGAGCATTGTAAAATTCTTTTTTAAAAATCTTATTGTTGAAAGTATTACATATGCCCTCACTCCCCACCATTGACTCTTCTAGCCCTCCCACCCCCCCACCATGCTCCAGGCCTTCACCCTATTGTCTGGCTCAATGGTCGGCAAACTCATTAGCCAACAGAGCCAAATATCGACAGTACACGATTGAAATTTCTTTTAAGAGCCAATTTTTTTAAACTTAAATTTCTAACGCCACTTCTTCAAAATAGACTCACCCAAGCCGTGGTATTTTGTGGAAGAGCCACACTCAAAGAGTCAAAGAGCCGCATGTGGCTTGCGAGCCGCAGTTTGCCGACCACGGGTCTGGGTTATGCATATATGCATACAAGTTCTTTCTTTTTCAACATATAGGATAATATTGAAAAATTCCAATTTTTGAATTCATCCCCAAGGAAACTTTTCACAAATCAAAATGCCCTCGGTTCCTTTCTTCTCAGTTGTCTACCTTTACACCTTGGCTTTGATTTCAATGGAAGCTTTGTAGTTCACAAGGCTCAAAGCAGCAATAGATAAATGTCTAGACAAGAAGAGCAGATACTGATATTTTCATTTCCAGACAATTTAGTAGCACCAAAGAATGAAAACCGGGCTTTTCAAATAGAAGACTTTTCACAAAACTACTTCTTTTACATTTTTTACACAGAGCAGCTGCTAGAAATTAACCAGCAAGGATTTATTGAGAGCCTAATGCTTGTTCAGACAAGCAGCATTAAGGATGCATTGAGGTAAAAGATTTAGTCTCAAGTCTCAAGAAGCTTTCTGTCTAGCTAGGGAGACAATGATATATTTGAAATACAAGCAAGCCCTTCATGGCAGGTTGGAAAATATATAAAACTTTTGTACACTCAAAATACAATTTTAGTATTGTCTGCATGAGAAAAATTTGACCTCATGGCTTAAATCCAAACTAAGAAATATTTCCTGCCTTTTATCTTTAACTAGGGTGATATATTATATGAGCAAATACTAGAAAGAGACTTTTCCTCCCAGGTCTATTTAATCTGTCAGTTCTGCCCCACAGAAAGACAATGCAAACCATATGTATAATCATAAACTTTGTAAAACACTAAAAAATTAAACAGGTATGCCGGGACCGGTTTGGCTCAGTGGATAGAATGTCGGCCTGTGGACTGAAATGTCCCGGGTTCGATTCCAGTCAAGGGCATGTACCTTGGTTGCGGGCACATTCCCAGTGGGGGGCGTGTAGGAGGCAGCTGATCAATGTTTCTCTCTCATCGATGTTTCTAACTCTCTATCTCTCCAACTCTCTTCCTCTCTGTAAAAAATCAATAAAATATATTAAAAAAATTAAACAGGTACAATTAATTTTAATAATGTGTTACTGAATCCTTTATATATAAATTATTCCAGTTAGTAATCAATATAAACAAAGAGTTTTACATTACTTTTTCATACTGAATCTTTAAAATCTATGTCTTACACTTATGGTATATCTCAATTCAGATGCTAAGTTTTTATCAGGAGTAATTGCTTTGTATTTAGATTTATAAAATTTACAGTTGACAAAGTAAATTCACATTGACAAGGTATTCCAAATGCACTTAATTTTTAAAAATAACGATGTCAAGTATCATTTTTAAGTAAAAATTAAAATTAAATAAAAATTTAAAATTCAGTTCCTCAGCAGCACTTGCCATGTTTGAAGTGCTTAATCACTACAGTTGAAGTGTTCAATAGCTACATGTGGGTAATAGCTACCATAATGGACAACTCAGATCAAGTAGATGAGATCATACTCGGTGCTAATATTTGAAGACTTTATAATGTGGACCTAATGAGATCCTGTGGCTTTGGGTAAAAGTGATTTTCACAGGTCATTAAAAAATATACAACTAATATATACTTCAATGAATAAAGTATGTACAAAAAGTATATACTTCAATGAATATCCACAAAATGAAAACATACACCCAGACCAAGAACAGAACATTACCAACACTCTGCAAAGGTAGGGGTCAAGATTCTTTCCTCCTCCTCCCTCTCACCCCCTCCCCCAAAATAAATACTGACTTGGCACAATATATTAAAAAGGTAATCCTTTCCCCACTCCACTTCAGTCATCTTTGTCATTAATCAAGGTTATGTATATGTGAGGGTATACTTCTGGACATTCTCTTCTATTTATTGCTCTGTTTGCTTATTCTTGTGGTAATAATTCACTGCCTTGATAATTAGAGCTTTATAATAAAACTTTCTGGTAGTAGAAGTCCTCAAACTTTGTTCTTTCCAAGTTTTGTACTCTTCTTGGCCATTTGCATGTCAATACACAGAACATTTTAGAATCAACTCATCAATTTCTACAAAATACTCTGAAACTTTGATTGAAATTAGATTGCATCTATAGATCAATTTGGGAACAACAAACATTTTTTTTTGAGCATTGATTCTTTCAAGCTATGACCAGGGCATGCCTATTTATTTAAGTCTTCTTTAAGGTCTATCAATATATTCTTTTGTAATTAAAAGTATTTTTATTGATTTCAGAGACAAAGGAAGAGGAAGAGAAAGATAGAAATATCAATGATGAGAGAATCATTGATCGGCTGCTTCCTGCACGTTCCCTACAAGGGATTGAGCCCACAACCTGGGCATGTGCCCTGATTGGGAATTGAACCATGACTTCCTGGTTTATTGGCTGATGCTCAACCAATGAGTGATGCTGGCAGGCTTGAAATAGATTTTTTTTTTTTGGTCTCCACTACCTATTATTTTTTATACATATTAAAAATAATTTAAAATTTCATTATTGAGAACTTCATTATCTGAATGACTTATGGGCCTATTATGTTTGTTTTTTTATTCAAGTATTTTATTTTTAAGCTCTTGCTGAACATTGTTTATAAAAATTGCAGAGATAAGATGAAGCTCTGGTAAATCATACCTCCTTGCAGAGAGGTTTATTTTGCTTTTGGCAGGCAGTTGGGGTAGGGAAGACCATCTTAATTCAGTTCGGGATTGAACTATTCAAGGTTGGGTTACAGATTCTTTTGAGGGTGAATTTATATTTGTTTCTCTTTTATTCCTAAATGGTAGCCTTTTAAGGGTTTCGAGTGAAAATGTGGAATGTTGAACAGCGCCCTCCCCCCCACCTTGTTATGCCCAAATCCAGCCACCACCTAT